ATGGTGAATTTCTAAAAGTACACTAAATTGTCTTTAATATTCAAAAATGTAATTTTATGAAAATTTTGGAAATTTTGTTGTACTATAATTTTGAAAATTTATTCAAATTTATTTAAATTCTTATTAAATAATTTATTTTCTTTTTAAATGGTTTACTTATAGAATTATACTAATTTATCTTATAATTTCTAATATAAACTAACAAATAATTTCCTTTTTCCAATATTATACTAATTTATCTTAATAATTTGTGTAATTATTTGTTCAAATTATAGTTTTCTGTTTCCCATAGTCATTTATCTTTAATAATTTTCAATAATTTGCAGTGAAAAGTACATAATTTCTCAATGGTTTTCCAAAATCTATCAAATGTAACAAATTTTCTTAAAATTCCCAAAATATTCTAATAATTTTCAATAATTATTTAATGCATTTTAAATAAATCAAATACTTTATATCTTTTAATTTTAAAAATGTTATTTCACAAAAATGTAGTTTTATGAAAACTTTTGAAAATTTTATTACATTTGTGTAATTATGAGGATTTATTGATTTTTTTTAATTGTTATTAAATATCTATTTTTATTTGGTAGTTTACTAACAAAATTACACCAATTTATCTTTTATTTTTCAATATAAATTAATTAGTAATTTCATTTTCTAAAATTATAATATTTTGTTATCCCAGTTGTATTTGTTACTAATTATAATAATAGCAATAACTAAAATTTTATACTTTTTGATAAATGTTAAATATAATTCTCAATTTTATAGAAATTAATTATAGAGTTTCAATTTTTATAAAATGTTGTTAATGAGTAAATAACAATATTTATTAATTTTTTATAATTTACTAACCATACTAATAAGAATATTTAATTTTTGGTAATTTACTAACTATATTTATTAACTTTTGGTAATAACGCTATTTAATACTCATTGAATATGGGTGGGATTAAATATTAACCATATTTAAATATTTATTAATTAATAATATTTTAAATGAGGGAATTGGGGGGATGCATTTTAGAAATTGATTAGGGAGTGAGGCAACATAATACTTTCCTATTGGTTTAAATGAGATACCTTAGGAGAGAGATTATAGGAATATTTTTAGGTAGTTAGGTGACATGGCTTAGTGGGAGTGATGAAAAGGGGAGAGGAGAGAAAGTCAAGGTGAGGATAATGGAGCAAGGAGAGGCATGGTGACAGGGACCCGTGCGACGCACGAGCTTTATTAAGCAAAAGTTAAACAATAGAAATACGAGAGTATATAATTGTTTCATATTTTAACTTTTTAATAAACAATTCGATCAAACTCAACCCAAGCTGGTTGGTTTTCTAGTATTTCATATCGGCTTGGGTTTAATAAATATATATTAATATTTTATATTTTAAATTTAATTTTTTAATATGAGAAAATAGAAAAATTTCCATATTTCTTAGTCTAAAATATTTTATATCATAGATTTAATTTTTTTTAATTTACTTTTTAATAATATCATTGTAATTTATGAAAATTAAAACTATAAGTTTAAATCTTTTGAACAAACTAAACCGAAAATAGATCCAAATCGATACAACCCGAGTTGGTGGGTTTTCACTAATGGTCAATCGGTTGGTGGGTATTCACTAATGGTCAATCGGTTTCGAGTGACAAACTGCGGACTTGACCAGATCAATTTGGTTGCGAAACAGCCTGCAACTGAACTGAACTAATCATTGAACACTCCTAATCTCAACTAAATCTATAGTCTAATCTCTAATAAATAACAATAGTTTAATCTCCAATAATTATTGAAAATTTATAGCAAACGTACACAAACATTGAAAATAAGTTTATAATAAAATATAATAGATATATAATAAAAATACAATAATTACAAAATTATTAGTGTAATCTCAAGTAATAGTTTAATCTCTAATAAGTATTAATCTATAAATTATAAAAAATATATAATTACTAAAAATAAATTTGTAACAAATACAATAAATACGATAAATTAAATTTCAAAAGTTAAATAATAGTTGTTTAATCTCCAATAATTATTGATAATTTTCTATTAAATAACAAAATGAAAATAGATTTATAAATAATTATTGAAAGCATATTTATAAAAAACAATAAATAATTATTGAAAATAAAATAAATATTATTTATAGTATATATAAATTTATAATGAATATACACTATTATTGTAAAATTATTACTAATAAATATAATTTTGTTGATAGTTATTTTCTATAATTATTAACTGATATAAGTGAAATAAGTTATTTACAATATTATTTAGTTATTGAAATAATATTATTATTTAAATTCTTAAAATATTAATTATTTATTTAATTTAATAATCCATAAAATTATAATTTTACTATTATTAAATAATTCATTATTAATTTTATACAATATTAAATTATTATTAATATGAATATTATGAATTCTATTATAATTATTTTTCTACTTTTAATAATTTTTTAAATTTATTACTTAATTTCGTTAGCTTAACTATTTAAAATTTTGTAATGTTAAATATTTTTTTATTTAAATATTTAAATAATATGTAAAATATTTAAAAATTTTCATTATTTGATTTTTATTTATTTTAATGTTATTAAATAATATTAAATATTTTGTTATATTATTTAGCTATTTTTAATGTTTGTAAATTAAGATTTGTAGTTATTGAAATATTTAAATAATGTTTTAATTTTTAATGTTAATTTTTTATTATTTGAATAACATTTAAATTGAATAATTCGCAAAATTATAAATTATATTGTTACTACATAATTTCATGATGAATTTTGTAAAAATATTGAATTATTAATAATATGAATATTATTAAATCTACTAATTTTTTGTGTTTTGAATATATATTTTAAATTTAATATATAATTTCGTTATAACATTTAAATAATTCTAAATTTTTTTAATTGAAATTTTCTTTAGATAGATATAAATAAAAAGTAGGGGAGAGGATAAATAGGAATTAGAAATAGTTTAGGAGATAACCTCTCTACTAAATTAGAGATAATTTAAGAGATAAATAGGAGTTAGAGATAATTTAGGAGATAAATAGGAATTAGAGACAATTTAGGAGAAAGTGCAGGAAAGTGGTGCCATTTGGCTAAGCATTAGAAATGCAAATCCCTCTTTCTTTATGGTTGTTAGAAATAGTTAAGCATATGTGATTTCCTTATTGATTTAATCGGTAATTATGTGAAATTAAAAAAATAAAAAAGATTCAAAAAAACAGAAAATTATGAAGGGCATTTGAATCAAGGAGAGGTATGGTGACATAGACAGACCTATAAAATGTGAGGCTATGATATCACTCACCCCGCGGATGTTCCAAGAGAGCATTGACGTAGTTAATGGAAAGCTAGAAGAAATAAGTCTTTAAGAGTTTAAAGACATCTTTTCATGGTCGTAGGATGAGATGCCTAACCTTGAACTCGACTTAGTGGCTTACTCACTACACATAAACCCTATTGCACACTCGGTCAAACAACCCCCGTGAGTCCTCCGTTCAGATGTATAACTCAAAATAAAATAGGAAATAGAGAAATTACTCAAATAGGATTCATCAAGCCCATTTCACATATGGGTGGCTTGTCAAATGTAGTACAACTTTCCCTACGCCTTATACGTGATAAGATTATAGCAATTAACATTTTTATAGATGATGCATTGATTTTCACCACCTTAATAAAGGATGAAGTCCCTCTACCAAACATAGAACTCTTGCTATATTCCACTACAAGCCATGAAATGTTTTCCTTGCTAGATGCCTACAGTAATGCCCTTTAGGTCGAAGAACACAGGAAGCACACATATCAAATAGCAATGACGTGTATCTTCCATGACACGTGGCAATATTGAGATACAGATGCAAAGAGTACAACCTTAGGATAAACCCCATGAAATGTGCCTTCGAAATAAGATATGAAAGTTCTTAGGATGTATAGTTAACAACAGAGGGATTCACCCTAATGAGTGCAAGGTGAAAGCTATACTAAATATGCCACCTTTAATTTCAAAGAGCCATCTAAAAACTTTCTTCAACAAACCTCCTATCTTAGAAAATTCATCCCTGGCCTAACACTAGCAACAAAACTTCTAATGGACTTCACAAAATAGAATGTGTCTTTTGTGTGGAGAGAAGAACATGAGAAAGCCTTTCTGAGAATCAAATTTGTACTTGTTACAAACTCTGAAGACACATTCTTCATGTTCTCTCAAAGGTTTGTGAACATCAGCACTTATTTAAAACGTTTAAGCCAGATTCACATCAATTGGATTTGATTTAATTTGAAATTTTTGCTTCATATTAAATGAATTTAAAGGCTGCATTTGTACGAAGTGCAAATCTCGATTAAGTGCAAAATTTATATCTGGTTCATTTTTGTTTTTGTTTATTTGTAGTTATAATTTGCATTAATACCTGATACAAAATTTGTACTTTCTGTCTCTTTTGCACTCACTAGTGCAAATTTCGCATCCCAACAACTGATGCAGTATTTGAGCTACCTTCCCCCTACCTCAATTCTTTATCATATAAAGTGAAGACCACAGCATCTTGCATCCTACCTTACTCCTGAATATACCCACCTCCTACCACTGGTGGAGGTAACTTCATTTTGCTTCACACAAACAAATAAGTCAAAGAAGCAAAAGTAAACCAGAATTTACATTCAGTCCTCTTGCAATCCCAGGAATTTGCACTAGTGCAAATGAAATTTGTACTGGAACCAAATGCAGTCTAAAATATGTTGCCAATCACCATTCCATACCACTATATGGGTCTTTTGTAGTCCCAAACCACAATGCCCAACCTTTCAGAAAAATAATGCAGGAAGTTCCAGAGGGCCAGGGAATAAGCCCTAGTTTCTACGTAGGAACCAAGCAGATAAAATAATGCAGGAAATGTGAAGAGATGCAGACTATGTAATTGTTAAGGAATCTAGTATCAGAATTTACAAATGAAAAAACAAGATGGAAAAAATAAGACTAAACAATCGTCATTGATAAAGGGTTTAATATACACATCTAATATAGAATTAGAGTCAGTTCAGGCAAGAGATAAATTGGATATGAATTTCATTAAGTTGGAAGAAATTTTCTTTATCTATAGTGCATAAATTTCTAATATACAAGCAGCCTGAAATTAATTGTGATTGGTTAATGGTATTGGAACAAAAACCCTATGTATCATAGAGGGCACAGCAGAAATGCATGCCATACTCTTGCCCTAATGATCTCTAAAGAGCCTGAAAAGAATAGACCTAAAAAGAATGGGGAAGGTAGGGACTAGAAAAAGAAAATGAAAAAACAACGTTACCTCAGACAAAAAGAATGATGGCTTATTTTCTACTTTTCCTCCTCATTTATCTACAATTTTCTGAATCTCCCTGTTCAAAGTTGTGAATGCCACTCTCCATTCAGTGCTCCATGATCCACTGCATAATATCCTGTGCATCATTTTTAGTTCATCTGTATTTGCTTTCTTGAACAATCCTCCTATCACAGACTGAACTTCATTAACTGAATGGACTCCAGTATTTGATTTGTCCAGGTCCAATTTTATTAAATCAAAGCCAAAAATCCGAGTCTTTGATTCCTCTGTAGATAAAGTTGCACCAACAGGATACCTCTTCTCACCATCAAGTTCCTTGCCCAAAACCCCACATTGCACTAAAGGGACTTTATTCAAATCTTCCCCTTTGAGATTAAGCCTATGCTCCCAGTACTCCAAGCACTGATGATAGGGATCAAGTGCTTCAATGGCCTGTGAATACCCTAGTTAGCAACCAAACCTATAATGGCAACATGCTTGTGGATACATGTAAATATAATAACATTCATGGATCATATATTTGTGCCAAATATTAGTTCTGACTGAAGGGGTTCCAGTTATTTTTCAACTCAAACCCCCATGGTGCCAAGTATCAAAACAATAGACCTACCTATCAGACAAAAAAAGTCGATTTTTTCTCTTCTGTTTGGGGAGGGGGGGGGGTAGAGGGAGGATGGGATTGGATGCACTTATTCATTCAAATAGCAAGGTTTTATGAAGTCAAACACCCAAAAGGAGGGTACATGGCTAATTAAAAGTATTACCTACTATATGAGCAATCTAGATTGGCCTCTTACGTATTTTTATTTCCATTTTATATGTTGATGAACCCAACCAAGCATTAGCCCCAATACATATCAGATACATACAGCAGTATATCTTACTTTTCCCAAGCATGGGTGGCCATTGAAGTTTCAATTTTACTTTAGAAAAAAGGTTTCCTTCTTGGGGATGGGGGAGATGGGATTGGATGCACTTATTCATTCAAATAGCAAGGTTTTATGAAGTCAAACACCCAAGGAGGGTACATGGCTAATTAAAAGTATTACCTACTATATGAGCAATCTAGATTGGCCCCTTGTGTATTTTTATTTCTGTTTTATATGTTGACGAACCCAACCGAGCATTAGCCCCAATACATATCAGATACATATGGCAGTATATCTTACTTTTCCCAAGCATGGGTGGCCATTGAAGTTTCAATTTTACTTTAGAAAAAAGGTTTCCTTCTTGGGGATGGGGGAGACAAGGAGGTTTCATGGCAAACATGCATACCCTTTTCAGTTAACACATGGAAGATCCTGGGTCATCCAGCATGATATAACATCAACTGTTTCAGATACAAGGATTGGGACCATAAAGTGATTGACCCCACATAATAATATCTCTAGATCTCCTACACTTCCAGCTAGCCTGTGACATCACGTGTATTATCACATGTATGGGTATTTTGACATGTAAAGAGAACTTGTCATAGACTGAATGGAAGTGCAATATAAAGAAGATAGAAGTGTGAAGATCTGGGGGCCATGATAATTGCCTAAGCCAAAAATATCAAGTCAGACGAGTACACCAAGATAATCACACTCATCTGATCATGCTAACTCTTTGGCCTAGACAATCATTTTTTTTACATGGGTGCATCCTATGTTTGGTTCCTACTCTATATTTAAGACACATGGGCAAGAAAAGATAATGTCAGGATAAAGGGAGAAAAATGGATACTTTTTCTTTTATAATTGCAAGGAAGCTTTTACTCAAATACTAGAAGTTAATGAGTTCAAGGAGGATTGAGAAAGCTTTACCTGAATAATGGACGGGGATAAAAATCCAAACATTTCAAGTCCATTGAGATTCTGTAAAGGTTGTATGGGTGGCAGTCCTTTTTTCCCTAGGTTATGTTGTCTTTGGATCTCTTGTTCCAGTCTTTCTAGCACCATTTCCCAGCATTTCTCAGCAGAGGCACTAGCAAAGGCCTGACTTGGGCACTCCTCCACCGTAACCTGAATTATTCTCCCAAAGATAAGTAAAATCAAAAGATTTTTTTTTGAGCAAAAGGTGAAGTACTGTATTGATTCAACTGATACAAGGATGTTAAGTATGGGCATGTATGACCCACTATACAAAAGTATAAATATATTGCAGCTCCTGCCAAATTTTACAAAAAACAACGTAATAGGATCAAAATAGTTTTGATGGGGAACATCTCTGAAAAGATCCGTTGCAGCTAGCCAGGAGTCAATGACACCAAGGATCTTTTTAAAGATTTCCATAACAGCTTTTTTGCCTCAAATATTCTCTGATTCCTCTTCAAAATCTTTAAAAAGATAAGATGTTATGACTAATAATAGAAATTTGAAAAGCTTCTGAAATATGAATAGGGAAAGTGGGAAGGGCATTCGGAAATCTGAAGTCTGACACATTTTAAGTCTAATTAGAGCTTGTTATAAAAGCTTATATCTGAACAGTGTGCCAGTAATCTGATTACACTGGCACGTTGAAGAAGCTGATTGGAGTGTCTACTGCAGTTTATTCTTTTTGAAAATGGGTAGGAGGGTACACACTTGTTATTATGAAAGCTTTAAAAGGTCAAGAATAAATATAACACTTACACAACTATTAAGTCATAAGTGATGATTCAATAACTTGTTAATCAGAGCAAAAATTCAGATTAAGTGGCCTATAAGAGGTGTAAATCTATGCACTCAGAAGGATAAGCACTTGTCTTACTAGTTCAGAAATAAGTGGCTATTTTTCGGACTTTCAAATGCTACTGTAAATAAATGAAAAATGAAATGAAAGAAACATGAAATTTCATGTTTCTTATTATTTTCCATGATAAAATAGTTATAGATCCAGCCAGCTAGTCAATTATTGGTTGTTGTTGGACTAAGAAACAACAAATTTTTCCTGTCTCTATAAACAAAGTATTTAATAAAGGTCTTAATGTTCTTTGAAACAGAAAAAGAGAACAAACCACACCTTAAACAGAGGCCCAAGGAGACCAGCATCCAGGACCTCTGAGATATAGCTGCAAATTTGTGATGGATCAAACACACTAAAAAACCTTACACGGCTTCTGAACCCTGCCAAGGCCAACCAACAGAATCTCAAGCAAATTAGAGTTAATCCTATAAAAGAAAAATGAAAGAGTCCCAGACAAGGTCCAACCCAACATACCTTTCGGAAATATGGCACTTTTACTGCACCAAAGCTTTCCCGGCATGGTTATGCCAAAGTTTATAGGCTCGACACGTAAATTCAAGTTTTTTGTTGGATGGTTTTCACCATTTAGAGTCTTTAGGCACGAATTGAGTTCCATAAGTTCAGTTTTGATTATGCTGCTTGATGATGCAAATGAAGAAGAATGTGGAATGGAAAGATCAATCCCAAAGAGCTTACTACTACCAGAGTTGCAAGGATGTCCAGCATCTCTCAAACATGAAGGATGACTTTTACTCACAGGAATAAGAGAAGATAACTCAGCAGAATTATTTAGTGAAACTGAGTTGCAATCAGAAATTGATCTGACTGGAATAGAGAGGGCCCTTCCACCACTATCAAGGTCCCTTTTTTCCATTTCTTTTGAAACATTTGAAATGTGAATTTCTTCCTGCTTAATCACTGATGTAAAGGTCTTGGCAACATCAACAGTTGTCTTATTATCATAGCTTTCATACATTTCTTGCTTCCCACTTCCATGTTCGACAGACATACCCTCAAGATTCAAATTAATACACCAGTCCCGTTTCAGTTCATCTTTTTTGATAGGAAATCCTTCATTGCAAACCCCATTCTCCACCTCTGTCTTGACATGAGGTGCATATAAACTATGAGGTCCTTGTTGCTGGTTTGACTGAATGACTTCCAAAGAATTATAACATTCCAATTTGCAAGGCTCGTTAATGTTAGGAATTTCTCCTATTCCTGAAGAGGGACTTCCTTCCTTCTGCATGAGACAATCAGTTCTTGATGCTTCACTCTCAAAATCTGACATAGGGTTACCAGCTTCTATGCTGTTGATGTTAACTAATCCAAGATCCTGTGATGCCCATTTAGTTAAAGCATCTAAATTCCCTTCTAAAGCCTCAACCAGAGTGGCCAATTCTTCTGTATTATAACGGAAAAGGAAAAATCTCTGCCCTGGTTCACATGAACAGAGAAATTTTGCATGTTTGAGACATGCAAAGCGGTCAGGAGAGCACCTGCAGCTGGCAGCAGACAGGTGTAAGTCATAGAAGCATGAAAAGCATTCTCGTTCATGTGTCAAATCAAAGTCTCTGTTCATCTTTTGAGACCGCAAAAGAATTGGAAGACTGTCTCTTCTTTCCTGCTCTATATCAACTCGGGCCTAGAAAATGAATAAGTCACAATCAGATTTGTCTTTTAGAAATTTTCATTGCTGTTAAAGCATATAATAGGAATGGATTTACCTTAATCGCTTTTGTAAGTATCCCATCATTCCCACAAACACTTTTCCAACTTAAATTCTCTGGGCTTTGCTTTCCATGTACCAAGAGCTCCCAGAGGGCCCTGACAGCTTCCCGAGCCGAACCCAGTAGTAACTTGTCATGAGAGATGGATGTCTTCCGGCACTGCTCGCTATAGAGCTCCACTGCACTTTGTCCAAGTGGTAACCAGTCAACTGGGGCCACATTGACAGCTTCTGCACAGTTGAAGCCACAGTTGAACCCCGCATGGTATGCCCTTGCAAAGGTGAGAACAAACTCCCCAGAATTCTGGACAGCTCGGTACACTGGCACCCCCTCAGATTTTAAAACTGAAGGGGACAACTGAGTAACCTATTCCAAACATGACCACAAAACCATGCATTAATAACATCATATAAAACCAAGATGAAATTAGATACCACTAAGGTTACTCCAACCAAGGCAATATTCTTGCCAAAATTGACCAGATCAGATCAACATAATCATATAATTTGCCACAGCCTTTCAGTCAATTAAAATAGCCAGACAGCAAAATAACAACTGTTCACCTAATGCTAGATCACTTTGCCAGGATTTATAGGCTCAAGAGATCTCCTAGATGCACACCATCATTAAGGTAATTCTGAAGCCACTTATGCATAGAAGGGAAAATGAACAGGTCAAAGAAGTATGCATCCCTCCATCCTTCTGTCAAGACCATCTTACAGCATTTCTTTTGTTTGTATAAACAAAATATAATTTCCTTTATCATGTCCTAATAGGGTAGTTAAAAAATACATCATTCAAAAGACAAGTACTTATATGCAAAAGTTTTTCTTTGATTACAAATTACACATTACAGGAGGATTAAGAGGTGGGGACAGAGCAGGATGCAGGTGAGGTCCCCTGACACTACCACGGAGAGCCAGCAGTTAGGCAGGCTTGATCCTGTGCCTCCACATTCAGGAGGATGAGTGACCAACTCAGCTAATTATGTGCAAAAATAAATTAACATTTCAGAAGTTGAAAAATCTAAATGAAAGAAATGAATATATTGATATATGGAACTGCATAATCAATTTTTTGTTCCACAGTCCATCTGAATGTTAATTGTGATGAATTATTATTTTAACAGAACATTTATCAACCTCACAGAGTATATTACATTTGTTCAGGCTGCATAATATGCAAGATGAAATCTGATAAAAATATATAAAAAATGTCCCTGTACCAGTTCATTAAGTAAATATGGTTGCTCCTCAAACAGATCAGGCAAATGCTTTTTCATGGCTTCCTCCAATTGTGATGCATGGCTTCCAGGAACTCCATACCATACTTTCGGATCACCCCAATGGAGATAGTTCAGGGAGTAGAGGTGGTGGTCCTCAACATGCTATCACCAACCACAACAAACGGTACAGTAATGAATTAGTTATAATGGCACAAATGCTTATACTTAGCTACATTTTAGCTAGACTGTTGTCAATCGTATCTTATATTTTAACAAAATTATACCAATATAAAAGGTTTCATCAACTGGGTCTAGAAAGTACAAATTCCTAGTATATCGGCCCCTTCTTTGACAACCACATGAAGGGATCAGTGGAGCAATCAAGATTATTATCCATCTGATGATCTGAAAGTGATTCTCTTGGCTGGCCATGGAATTACCCATACGTACAACTGTGAATTGGACCTTAGACCCTATTAATACAATTATAAATCTTAAATACATGGATTGACGACCACTAATTTTCTTTTTTTTTCCGGTATGAGGGAAGGCTTCTTTTGCCATGTTGTGGCAGCTATTGGACAGTGACCTCAGCTGCAACATTTAAAAAGCTTGGCTTTGGCTCCCAAACTCACCCTAAGCAATAGGCAAGAAGCCATGTAAATAATCTTCATAGTAAGGTTACAAACAATTGATTGGGTGCATTGGAGATGATATAGTCCTTTGATTGTATCTTCACCTTATTAGAGAGATGCAGTTTCTGCTGGATTCGATTATCTAGAGGAGACAATAAGGATGAATTGCACAGGGTTCCTGCACAGTTGGGTAGGCTAGGGAGCTTGTTTCTATATATCGGGTATTCTGTTTTGTTGGGGTAGCAGCCTGGCCTCAGCCTAACTGATTCCTGGCTTGCATACAGTTGAAAAACAGCCCTTCGAAGTATGGGACTGTGTAAGATTAGATGAAAAACAAGAAAAGGCAAACAGCTGAAAAGATTGGTGAAGATGGAGAGAGAGAGCTGGCGGCAAGGAGGGTTAGAGGATGAGAGGTTCAAACTAATCTCCCCCTCTAACACTCTAATACAATTTTATTAAGTTAATTCTTGAATAATTACAACGAGAGGCCCTTGGTTGGGCAAGAAATTACAAAAACACAGCATAGAAGAGGATATGGGCCCAGAATAAGGCCCG